TTCATAAATTTTAGCTGCAAAGTTTTGCATCACCCCAAGAGATGCATAGAAGTATTTTTCCTTTCCAGACTGTATAGAAATCCAATGAATATTCCATTTTAAATATTTGATTCTTTCATTATTCTCAAAGATATGAGCGATTACATCCAACAGCAAGAATTATTTTACAGGAATATTAGTAACTCTCTGATCGAAGTCAGCCATAGCCAACCCTGTATTCAGGTTACAATCACGTCTGATCAGACAAATGAATTTATCTCTCAGAGTTCTGACAGAATAGAAATGACAATCCACTCTGTTACTCAAGCCAGACGATATTTCATGGAAGCTGTTAGAGGTGAACAACAAACAGACTGTGAGTTCAGCCTGACTGGTTCACAGCCTTCTCCCTGCTGCCCTTCTGCCTAAGGGCTACACAAACACAAGGCAACCAAAACAGCCTATGTCTGGTAGTCACTACTAGATCCTATTACCTTCTTTCAGGAGGTTCACGTCACAAAAGAAAAAACACTTCAGCTGCTGACATATGTCAAGAACAAGTCTGTTAATGTGTATGAGAACTGTCCAGTGATTCACATGGATAGTGTACATTTTGGTCATGTCACTGGAATGCACCTACTCACACTCTCAAGTATCACATGTGTTCCCCTGACCCTCATTCACACCACAGGGATGCATTCCTTCTCATCACAGGCCAGCTGTGGGATGCACATGCTTGTCTTGTCATAAAAGGGGTAGGAGAAGAGACAGTAACAGTATACTCATCACACAACATAGATATATTTAGATCATTCAACAGAGAAAGGGGTATTGCAAGCAGCCCTCTCGTTTGTCCACAAGGAGCTGTTCAATCATTGCAGAGACTGAGAATGACTCCATTAGAAGGTACATAAACTAATCAAGAGGAAATAGCTGTGTCTGGACTATTATTTAAGTCCAATATTTGCATTCTTTCCTCAAAACACTATTAGAAAGAACACGCATTAGAAATATACTCTAATGTAGAGTATAAGAAAAAAACAATCCTCCTATGTTTATCAAAACAAAAGATCAACTTCACAGAATCACAGAATCATCTAGGTTGGAAAGCACCCTGGAGATCATCCTGTCCAACCATTCGCCTAGCACAGTTCCCACCTACAGCATATCCTTAAGTTCTAAATCGACCCTACTCTTGAACACCTCCAGGGATGGGGACTCCACCACCTCCCTGGGCAGCCCATTCCAACACCTAACAACCCCTTCTGGAAAGAAATGCTTCCTAATATCTATTCTGAACTTTCACTGGTGCAACTGGAGGCCATTCCCTCTTGTCCTGTCGCTTTCAACTAGGCTAAAGAGACTCATCCCCAGCTCTTTGCAACCTCCTTTCAGGGAGCTGTAGAGGGCGATGAGGTCTCCCCTCAGCCTCCTCTTCTCCAGACTAAACACCCCCAGTTCCCTCAGCTGCTCCTCGTACGACCTGTGCTCCAGACCCTGCACCAGCTCCGTTGCCCTTCTCTGGACACACTCGAGTCATTCAATGTCCTTTTTGGAGTGAGGGGCTCAAAACTGAACACAGGAATCGAGGGGCGGCCTCACCAGTGCCGAGTACAGGGGTCAGATCCCTTCCCTGTCCCTGCTGGCCACGCTAGTGCTGACACAAGCCAGGATGCCATTGGCCTTCTTGGCCCCCTGGGCACACTGCTGACTCCTGTTCAGCCGGCTGTCAATCAACACCCCCAGGTCCCTCTCTGACTGGCAGCTCTCCAGCCACTCCTCCCCAAGCCTGTAGCGCTGCTGGGGGTTGTTGTGGCCCAAGGGCAGCCCCCGGCATTTGGCCTTATGGAAACTCCTCCAGTTGGCCTCAGCCCATGGCTCCAGCCTGTCCAGGTCTCTCTGCAGAGCCTCCCTGCCCTCGAGCACATCAACTCCCACCCAACTGGGTGTCATCTGCAAACTGACTGAGGGTGCACTCGATCCCCTCATCTAGATCATCAATAAAGACGTTAAACAGGAGTGGCCCCAAAACGGAGCCCTGGGGGACACCACTCGTGACCGGCCGCCAACCAGATTTAACTCTGTTTACAACTCTCTGGGCCCGGTCGTCCAGCCAGTTTTTTACCCAGCGAAGTGTGCGATTGTCTAAACCTCAAGCAGTGATTTTTGCCAGGAGAATGCTGTGAGAAACAGTGTCAAAAGCCTTGCTAAAGTCAAGGTAAACAACATCCACAGCCTTTCCTTCATCCAATAAGCAGGTCGTTCTGTCATAGAAGGAGATCAGGTTTTTCAAGCAGGACCTGCCTTTCATAAACCCACTTGTATCTGTATTTGGATTATCAGAGTTTACCAAGCTAGTGAAACCAACATCACTTTTTCATAGTAATGTATTGGATGCAGGTGTCAACATGTTGGCAGGGGTGGGGTCTACAAGGTGGATCTCTGTGAAAAGAGACTAGGGACTGCCCTGTGTCGAACATGGTCAGTTCCAGTCAACAGACCCACTGCAGGACACAGCTAATCCCACAAGGTAAACTGGTACTTCTTGGGGAAACATATCTAAGAATCAGCAAAAAATAATGGGGAGGGGGAAGGAACACAGAGAGAAGGAGTGACAGAGAGGAGGATGAGGGAACAACAAGGCTGGAGTGGCAGGAGATGTTCCACACTGGAGCAGGTAGATGCCCAGAGGGACTGCCTCCCGTGGAGTGCCCACAGCACAGGATAGGAAAAAAGTGAGCAAGAAGTGGCAGAGGGAAATGGCTAAGCACTGCCTTTGTCCTCCTGTGCCACCCATTGCCTCACCAAAGGGACTGAATGCAGCTTTCAGCATAACACAGCAGGAAGAAATGTCTGGAGTGATCCAATCCATTCAGACTCTAAATGTGAGCCTTCTACCAGGGATAGAAATGGAAAAGCTTTTTAAGTAAAAAATAATTCAATTTTATATCAGCTGACTTATGGTGTTGCTGGTGTAAGCAGGAGGCTCACAGGACATAAAAGAATAGCTTCACCTTCCTCTTCATTTGCAGAAGAAACATTTAAAATAAAATACATGTAATTGCCTATTGAAGACCAAAGTCCTTCTCTACAGTTTCTAAAACAAAGAAAAAATTTTTTGAAACTTCTGCCATACAACTGACATCCAGGAAAGTATATATGCTCAGTCTAAAAATAGTCATGAACAGGTCTCATGAAAAAATATTTGGAATTTTTGACAAAATTCTTTCTAGTGGTAAAAAAAAAATATGAAATTTTAAAGCAAAAAAAGTTTTTTAAAACATCACAATTTAAAAATGAAATTGTTCTGCTTTAGTATTACACCTAGAAAAATAGCTTATTTAGCATTTATAGGGTAAATCCAAACCACTTTTGTTGTTCTTTAGGGCAGGGAGATATTTTTATTATGTTATTTTGAACAGGATTAGAAGACTAGCCTCCAGAGTGCCACAGCACAATTCTTGTTAAGCACTTAACAATACATCTCAAATGTCTTGTCATCCTCCTATCCCTCTTATCACCCTAAACTAATTGATTTCACTCCTTCTCATCCCCAAACTTCCTCTACAATCAAGAAGCCACCCCACAAACTCCTTTGCAATTCTATTCCTTCTAAACTATGCCCTACCCCATTCCAAATCTCTTCCTACACATGAATCCCATATTAATGTGCCATCAGACTGAATACCTCTTGGATGCAGCTCCTTGATGACTCCAATTCTGCTTGGTCAGGTACTGCTATTATCACTATGACTCTACTATTACTACTCTTGGTGCTGCTGTGTCTCTCTGCTTGTCTCCTCCACAATGTCTCTCCCCACGACACCGGCTCTTTCACCAGCAAGTGGTATGCATTTGTGGCTCGCCTAGTATAAAAACTGCAGCCTCAGCTGCTGGTCTGACCGGGATTTAACACCTAGATACAGGTCTGAATTTACTAAAATCCACCTAGAGAGAACCCTAAGGGCAGAAGCAAAAAATATGTTTGTGAGAAAACAGGATGGAATCCATATTATTAACGTGTCATTATAAAACCATATAGCAAGCAGGATGTGTGGTTTGATTCTATTCAACACTTGTTGTGGTTAAAGAGGCTTCACCTTCATCTTCCTGCTCCTTGTCTTAGCGTGGCTGCCCAGACGTAGTCTTGCTGTATAAGCCTGGCAGGTACACCCTATTCAGAAGTGATGATTTTTTCCTTACCTTTTCTCTTTATAATTTCTTGCCATCCTATCTCAGTGATTCCTCTTATAGATACTGTCCCCTCAGTAGTTGCATTTACTCCCAGTTAGCAGGTTGGACATGTATGAGATTACCAAGGTAGAGATTAGATTTATTTAATACCACTCACAAAGTTACATTTAAGTCTTGCAGGCTTCCACCTCTGAAGTAAACAGATTTCATCAGATTACATACACAGTACATAAACCAGAGTCACTTCAAAACTACAAGCTTATTTCATAACCTAACCCCCTCCAAAACAATTTAACAATTCATTTCCATGTGATTCTTGAAACAGATTCTGTAATCAAAATATACACACTTTTAACATTACTTTTTAAACAACCAGAGCTTAAGTGGTAAAGGAAAAAACAATGTTGCACAACTGGAAAATATTCTAGTTCAGAAACACCCTGCTCTTTTTTTTTTGTTTGTTCAAAACGCTTTTAAAATTCAAGTAAAGGTTATAAACTTTTTTAACCCGCTGCAAGCAGGAAATGTTCTACTCCTTTCCAACACTTAATGCTGAAGTGTATTTTGTTACAAAATAATTTGCTTCTACAATTGATAGCAATTTACAAAGGTAGACAGCATTAGCATCTTTTTCCTTATATAAAATACATTGTATTAAATTAATGAGGAAAAAGATAACACTGCATATGTTATTACTTCTCATAATTGCTAATTTCCTGCCATGAAGAATTTGCTTTGAGCTCTGAAAGAATATGAACTCCAACTATATATGACCTCAATGGTTACAAAAATAAATGACAGACTGTGGGGCAGAAAGTGCATTTTACCTTGCAGCACGGAACTGTTTCAGTTTCTGCCTCTAGTTTTCAAACAAGATGGCTGCGCACTTACAGGTAAATGGGTACAAAGTCCAGTCATGTGAACTGAAACAGAAAGGTGGAGGGGAAGAAAGAAGGACAACGCTGAAAAAGACAACTTTTTATTATGTAACACTGACAGTATTTCTTGGTAAAACACTACTTCACTAGTAGGAAACAATCTTAACATGTTTTCATAATGCATATATACACATGTCTAACTGAGACACTGGTTTTATTTTTTTTGCTGAAGATCTCATGTTAGGTTTTTCAAATGCTAGTGGCTTTCCATCATATTTTTGGAAAACGAGGGCAGTACCAGAATCTCAGGTACAATTCTGCTTTCTGTACACATGGTAAGGGTTCCTGCAGAATATATACATAGAAACTTCTGAGAAACTGCTTTAAAACACCTTTTTAAGCATAATTTCAGACTAGTGTTTTTCAAACTTTTCCACTGGATGCACAGAAGTATTTAGAGATTTTCTCTATATAATTACTGTACACCATAGCCCATCCTGGTTTGCTACCTACACACTCTTAGAAACTGTGTGTGCTCCCAGAAAATGACTGCTTCCAGGAAGTCCAAGGACCCTAATAGCAAAAATCATCTGTTAAATGTTGAAAAGTGCTAGCTAGTTTATGTGTTATCCCCCTCCCTCCACCCCAATTCATGTATTTTTCACAGAGAAACTTGATCAGGAGGAGACAAGATGCATGTCCAAATATGTATGACAATCAAAGCCAATGAAACATAACATAATCTAAGCCTTACATTCTAAAAATAAAATTTTACTTTTCTGCCAGGCAAAATAGTAAAGCTGACAATGACTGGGAGAAATCAAACTGAACCAACGGTTTTGAACAGCTGTCTAAACGCAAAGTTTAAATTACATTTTTCTGTGGTTCAAGAAATGAGTACAGCTTGTTCAGAGCTTTTCTCCTGCATTTTTCCTCCCTCTACTTTAAAATACCATTCTACTGTAACAACTTTGAAACAATTTTAAATTGCCAACCTTTTCTCTGTCTCAAAAAAAAAAAAAAAAGGAAATGCTAGCCCTACCTTAAACCTTTGAAAACCACTGTAGCTATTGGCTTGCAATTTTTGAAAGCATTAACAAGTGAAAACAAAGACAATTTTAAAAAATCTTGTCAGCCTCCCTAAAATACATAACCAGCTAGTTTTTAATATCTCTGATTAATCATACTTTTAGATAAATCATATTTTAGAAAGTAATGAGAAAAAATGCTTCATACAGATGAAAAAACAGTACGAGATGAAACAGATGAGATGCAACATCCATTGGCAAAACAGAAAAATATTTGTACTTCACCAAGTCTTATGCACATAAACTGCAAGTCTTCAGAGATGTATAACTATTTACTTACATTTTATTAAAACAAATTATTAAGCAACATTAATTAAAAAACTTGTAATCATGTAAATTAGAAGTAGTGATACAACAAGGATATGTGTGGTTAAATGTAGATGGATTGAATGAAGAGATTTGTCTGTTTTAATTAATGTGACAATTGAAGGCATTTCATATGGAATAACAAAATGCAGCTTAAAAAGATATATTAATTCTAACTAAAACAGTATGCCAAAAATTATGAAGAGATAATGAGTAAAAAAACAAACATTCTCCCCCTCTCCTATTGAAATCTGAGCACTGAATGAAAACTGAACTGAGGGTTCTTCTTTGTTTGGGTTTCTTCTCCATGTTTGATTAGAAATCACTAAAGGGTGCTAAAGTGACAATTACTCAATGATTTCAAAGCATAAGGACAGAAAACTGAAATGCTAAGAGGGAGGCTGCATTTAGGCTATGTTAACTAGGGTACTACATTATCCAGTAATGTATTCTCCAACGATATGGAACAGAGATACGTTGGACTATATTACCTGCTCTAACAGGTGTTTCTGTGGTTTGGCTGGTTTTGGTTTTGTTTTTTTTTTCCACATGGATATGAAGAGTGTCCAACTTTGTTTTTTCTTTATTAATTTGCCTATGTATAACAAGAGTTCAACTCATCGAATTGGCAAAGGAAATTATTTTTTAAGTAGTGTTTGAGAAGGAGATAAAAGGATACATGATTGGATTTATTGGAATCTAATGGAATGGCAGAGCTGCAGTGAAGCAGACCATTTGTCTCAGTTGATCAAAACTTCTCTGACAAAGCTTTAAAAGTTTAGGATTGAACTTAATCACACCACTTATTCATATACCAGGTACAGTACATACATCTTTGGAAAAAAAACCTCACCCATAATACACTGCTCTCTTAAAGTGGGTGAATGTTGGCGTAGAACTAAATTCTTATGCTTCCACACAAATCTGCTAACAAAAACCTGTATTTAACAGGGATTCAAATGATATACACCAATAACAAGAGCTAAAAATGATACAAAGAGTATTTTTTAACTTCTCTTAACATAGTAAAACCCAAGGAAATAAGCTAACTTCAGAAGATATTTTGGAAGTCACACATATCCAGAATTAAACAATACAGCCCTGTTGCTGCTATGGACTTTGTATAAATTGATTATTGGATGTTAATTTATTCCGCAATGAATCTTCAGGGAAAAAATGTGTTTAAACTTCATTCATTCTCTGGCTTAGTCCAAGAACACCAGTGATAAATTTCACTCTAAAATTTCTATAGCCAGGTATTTCTCCTGAAGTATATAGGAGAATCATATATGCACTTGCAAAATCTGTGGATTGCAAAGGACTTTGTGCAGATCTGAGGAAGTCATAATGGCTTTAATGTATGGAATTCAGTGACATGGTCTAATGATTTTGTTTTGTTTTTCCACAGTTGTGCTTAACTTTAGTTAGAGTTACATATAGGAGTTTAGCTGGAAGAATATATCAGCTGTGTCACGTAAGAATAAAGATCCAGGTTTTGTAGTTGCTATAGCCATAGTTTCTATCAAATATTTGTCTAAGTTATCTCAAGTCACAAACAGAACAAGATAAGAAAGATGGGCTTGAATAGACAGGAAAAATGTATTTAATTGAATCTACTAGATAATGTATTTATTTTCTGATGTGATGAAGTCAGAAAAAGCAGATAAATATGCAGGTCCACGCCCTTCATCAGGTCCTTCAAGAAGAAAAAATCACCCAGCTAAATACAACAAAAACCGGCACATGGGCAATGTGTTTCCACCAACTTTAAAAAAAGCTTTAGTGCAGACACCACCCCAGAAGAGGCTGGTAGAGATTCGGTGACAAGAGGACATCTACTGAGTGAAGCTCTGTGCTTCCTGAAGCAGGGAATCTTTCCTTCAAGCTCTGCAACTCAAGAATACAGCCTAACCTACCCCATTTCATGAGCACAACACATGGTGGCTACTCTCTCGCTGGCACATCCTACTTAATTAGGATATTAGAAGTATTGTTAATAGCTTGTGGAAAATTGCATTAGTCTAATTTTTCCAGATGAGGGTGTAATCGTTGGCCTAAAAAGGAAAAGTCAGTGAAAAACAGATTATGGAGCCAGGTTGCCAAATGCGGTCATTACTATAATACTCATTCCCTATACTGCTTGTAGCAGCCACTGGTCTAAATGACATGTGCAACATTTTTGAAACAGTGCTAAAACAATTAATTCTCTAACAGAGTAGATAGTTGCCTCATCAAGCTTGCAAGATACTAATTTTTCATACTTAAAAATGCAGAAAAATATTTCAAACTGTTTGAAGAGGTAGTAAACTCTTCATGGGCTAGATGTGTTGGCACTGATACCTTTCAATTTCAGTAAGAATTCAAGAAGCAGTTGGCTAACTCTGCTTGGCACTGCCCCCTCTCCTTTCCCTTCTCATTATTTCTGTGTCCTGATCAGAGTTGCTATGTCAGATTGTTCCAGCATGGTGTTATGGCTACTCTGGCTTGTCAGATCTAGACGCTCAGATTGCTAGAATCACTGCAAAAAAATAAAGATTGTGGTATTGTATAATAGTTGGTCTCCAACTGTCTCCCTGCACTACCTAAGCTGGCAGCATATTTACCCTGATCATGTAGACATTCTGGGCTGAGTGTCAGCAAGCTCATTTACCTCTGCTCGACTGTTCTGGGTAGATAAAAAATTGAAAGGGCATGCACTCATAAAGTAGGTAGAACGTCTGAGCTCTGGAGGATCAACTCTCCAGCTTGTTGCTCACCGAGTGGGGAATACGCATACAAAACCTGAATATGGAGCATTACAGACCAGTGGCTTAGCGACCTTGTGACCCAGAAAAATCAAAATTCCTTCTCTCTTTTTTCATCTGTAGATGTAATTACTGCAGCCTTTGAAGAGGTTGAGCTTAGGGACACAAGACTGAAAGGACCACTGGAGGGGTGACTGCATTCAGTTCCACCATTACTGCCTGAAACCAACTGATTGATGTCTTGCTCACAAAGGTTGACAGAATGTGTATTCCACATGGCACTACAAATAGGAATTTCTTCCTAAAATCTGTAACAATCAAACTGTAGGAAAATGAACAAATATAGCCATAAAATTCGTATGCAGACAAGAAAGAAAACCAAGAGTTTAGCTGGTATTTTAGGCACCTGAACAATGGAAATTTAGATAAATGAAAGTTGCAAACGATACTACAGAGGAAGCCCATATCACATAGGAAAAGCAAAACAAGATGTAGTGCTTCATATCTAACCTGGAGATGCAACACCCCCCACCCCCCCCAATCTTTCTGATAGTTTAAGGTTAAGAGGGACCCACCCATTAAGCACTTCAGGATTTCAACTACAATGACACTGCTAATCACTTTGCCTGTGTGCAGCCAATATTTTACTGGAAGGCCAAAAAGCTAATTCAGAAGCCATAAAGGAGAGAAAACGATGCTCACTGCCTATAATGGAAACAAAGGCCCTGAAGTATGGCATTAAGGCTTCAATTCCCAGCTTCAGAAACTATTCATTCTGTTATACAATCCCATCAATAAATACAGCAATTGACATCTAAAAATACCTTAGATCCCTTGTTCCCTCTGGTGTGTTTAGTTGACTTTTCTAGAAATTTACCCCTCACTGCTGCTTAAGAACCTTTATATAGATAACCAATGTACATCTTCTTCACTTTATTCTTCTCAAGCATAACACATCATCTTTCCTGCCTTTGTAACTAACCCACTAGTAATTGGTGGCCAATATTGAAATCCAGAAAATGGATGGCTCTCCTCTCCCTACTTGCTTTACTGTAAGAAGACCTATGATTGATTAAAGAGGATATACTCCCTTTTGACTTATGTAATTAATAAAACATGACTTAGATCAGCAGGTGTATGGTATTATTTTAATTACCTTAAGACATATATTCATTTTCCCTTTTGCAACCATAAAAACATACTGAAACAATAAAATTTACTTAATTCTTATTCTTAAGGTGAAAATCTCTTTGTTTGGTGACATCCAGCACTGGGTTTCATTTTCTGAGAGTTTATAGGCTCAACTATAGCAACTGTTGGGAATATCAGCCGATACCTGAATTAAATTACATTTAACTCTAAGTCATTTCACGCAATTTGTTAATAGTGAGCTTAACAGCTGTTCATGCAAATCATTGTGAAAGCTTTTAAATTACTGGATTTATTAAAGTCTTCAGATTCTTTTAAAATATTCAAACCAAAACGGATTATAATCTGTTTATCCTCTTTGCCAAGGCGCCTGCAGAACAAGAAAAATAACGTCAGTCATTTCTGTGTGAAATACATAGTGTATGATGCTCCTATCAATGGTATAAAAACATTTAAGTGAATTCATGTTTCAAGCACAGTATGAAGTAGTGAAATAGGAAATTGCAATTATTGAACCAAGTGTATTACCTAAGAAAACACATAAAGCTATTCTGAAGCTCTTATTCTGCAGGAAGAGAACTTAGTCACCTAAGTTTCAGTGATGTGAAAGCTTTTCAGCTTCAAGGTTAAGAAAACCCAAACATACAAAGGCTGAAAAATGGTTGAGGAATGTGCACATAAAACATTGTGTGTCATAGTTAATAATCCCATGGATACATGCCCGAGTATTTTCCCCTTATTTCACATTCAAGAACAATAAAACCAAAGTCATTTTAACATATTATTAAAAAGCTACAGAAAATAGACTTGTCTGGGTTAAGAAGGGCTACATATAGGCAGCTAATTTAGTCATTCAAACACCTGGACATATATGTGTATGTACCATGTAACACCATAAAACTTAAAACTTGCCCAAGATTTATTCATCTGCTTTGGTATATGCCCAGTTAAAAAGTTAAATTTGTTAAAAAACATACATGAAGTTAACACTGTTCTTCAGACTTCACAGATTCAAGTTTACTTTCATGATTACATCTCAGTAACCAAAGTTCATCAATAAGCGTACATCAGGTTCATAGGCATATAATTAACTATCTGTTTTTACCGTTACTGTACCTCTACACAGTATGCTTCCCATAACTCAAAAGTTATTAAAGCCCTCATCATGTGAAACAGGCTTTTTTTTTTTTTTTAAGTAGCAAACAAAAAACCCCAATTGCACAATTCTCAATCTCAACTTCTTTTCACTCCTTCTTAAAAAAAAAACCAAACCAAATACTAGTGCTGAAACGTTTGAGACAAGTATTTCAGACAGCTCGAATAAAATGTAGATCAGTATTTTCACTTACTTGTGCATCTACAAAAACTATGCTCCACCATGAATTAAAATTTCTGCTTGGACTTTCATCCAATTTCATTGTTATCAAGAAAACTTAGTCACACAGAATAAACTAAAACAGTTTATCTATACTGGGAAGATTTTTCTGTGCTTAAATGTAGCTTTGAAGTATCAAGTAAACTAACATTACGCTGATTATCACTGATGAGCCAGAGTAAAGCAAAGCAAATTGAGGTCACCAGACTATCAAGTAATTTGACAGTCTTGAAATGTGCACAGTAAGATTTGTAACACAGACCACTTAACCCTAAAAAGGTTCATCTTGTGTACTGCACTTTAATTCTGTGGCTTTTTTTCATAAAGGTTGTCTTCAAGATGTATTTCCACTTGAAAAAAAGTTTACCATAAGTCTTATGTTTTCTGAGGTGAACTTGTGGTTTACATACTAAAAATAGTACATATCTCCCCTTGTGAGGAGGGTGAAGGAGGTGGAGTCGCGACCAAAATACTTGTGCTTTTCTCTAATTATAACAACGAATCAAGATACCTGACTGATGTAGCTTTTTGTTGTTAACAAGTACAGGTGTTAGTATGCCAGCAAATACAATTGAAGATGGATATTTTAGAATATTTGGTAGTTGGAAAGTGGATGAATCCACCTTAGGTACAACTACCATACAACCTCTTTACTTACCCTTCTAGAAATTTCTGCCACAACGGTGTACACTCTTACAGCAGAAACACATTATTGCTTACAGCATCAGAAAACTACCACTATTAACTATAGAAATTACAGGTTTTTTTATTCCTTATTAACAGATTAACAGTTTTTTGGACATATTGTATTTAGGATTTTACCTTTCTATTGAATCTCACTATGCTTCCAGCTAAGTGAACTACTAAGGAAACTAACACATTTGCTGTCTGAAGTTGGAACATAAACAGTGTTTACTGCAGAAACAAAACTGCTGTGGACATTCTTAACACTCATATTGTAAGGTTCCAAAGGAAAATTTGATCTGGAAGCACAGGACCCAGTTCCTTAAATCTATGCAAGAACTAACATGCATGTCATTACTACATATGACATTTCTGGAAGACATTTAAGGCGCTGTGCAGCCTTTTTCCTAGCTTCCATAGGTAAGGCCTAAGTAGAATTAGCAAATGAGTCAAGTTAAAAACACAGGAAACCAACCCAAAACTCAAAAAATTTTAAACAAAGTCAAGTTTTATTTTTAAAAAGGTACAAGTGATGCCAAGGATGTTTTATTTGTCTTCTTATTTCCAAGACAGAAAAGGGTATGAGGGCTTTGCATCTATGATATTTCTCACAAATGTAGGATAAGGGTTCTTTTAAGGAATAAGTATGATGCTAAGGGAGCTAAATGAAAATACAAATATGACTGTATGACGCTTACTGTTCGGGCTCTAAAAAACACCATTAACTTGCTAAAATGGTGAAGTATTGCCAATTCAGATGAAGGCACTATCAGAAAAAAAAAAAAAAAAAAAGAATTGCTGAGAGGCCTACCTACAGACAAAAGAGACAGGACTTCCATTATGCGAAGCTGCAACTAACCACTGCCTTCACACAGAACTGTAAAGCAGTACAAATCTTCAAGCCAGTATGTCACCTTGAGAGCCTGATATAGCTCTTCACATGTCTGCTTCTGCAATGGGTATTTCAACGATGCCCAACGGTGAGTTACCTGCATGAAAAAATAAAAAAAAGGTTAGAGCGATGGGGAAAGTTACCTCTTTCTCTCACAACTGCCCAGTCAAATGTGGATAATGTGTCCGTGCAGGGAGATCTTCTTTCGTGTCAACAGCATGGGTTTGTTCCTTGAACTTCTGAACTTTTTGAAGGCTTCTGAGAAAACCCATGCAAAACACCCGAGAATTAAATATTCTCGCACTCAGTAACCCTTAAGAGATTGGGTTTACACACCATTACTTTACCCTTTCCTGACAGTTTTACACAGATTTGCGCCTTTTTGTTTACGGCTCCAATTATGATCCAGCGGCAGTATTACCCTCGGCACGCCAACGTTTTGCGAGGGAAACGCTAAACTTCCGAAACCGCGAGCGGCTCCCGCGAGCAGCGCGAACCAGGATTTACAAAGAAAAGTCCTCTCCCCTAGAAGAGGTCCGACGAAGAGAAATGGACTTTATCTGAAGAAAATACCAACAAAGGTAGACACGGAGGAGGCCCCTCCGCCCCGCTGGCTGTCAGCCCGCCCGCCCAACGGCGCTACCAGCACCCGCCCGCCACCGCCGCACGGCCCC